TTTAAAGTGGCTGGGGATTTAGCTCAGTGGTTCTGGCATCTGCCGCGCAAGCACAAGGACCTGAGTTCGATCCCCGGTACCAAAAAAAAAAAAAATTTCTTTAAAATGCACAAAAAAAATTCCTCCAAATCTATTCAGCTTCTAGTGGCCACACAATAACATGAACAACCCTGAAAACTACAACCTGTTTCCTTAAACAACATATGTGTTTCTCTTATTACTTGTTCAGTCTAAAGACAGAATTAATTTAATTTTTAAAAATATTCTAAGAGAAAGAATGAACATTCCCTTAGTATACATTGGTTACTTACCGATCGAAAACTTCTCCATAAAAATAAGAAAACAGCAAAAACCCCAACAACAGCTGGCCCCATCACCAATTCCCATGATAAACCATAGGGATTCGAGGCTGGTCTCATCTCTTCAGGCAGTGCTGCCACAACCTTCAAGACAAGCAAAATTAAATCCCTAAATATGCAGTTTTGACAAAAAGTGTTGATTACAAACAGAGGTTCAAGTGTATAGGATCAACTCTATTAATAACCTTCTCAGACTAACACCAAACAGAAGGCAACTGAGGATATTTTTCTGGCAACTTTCAACCACCATCGCCAAGCCATGAGGAACAGCAGTGTGGTGAGATGCAGGGACTGTGTGGTCGTCACACTGCAGTCCCAGAGATGCCTCCGAGCTTTCCAGGATGAGAAGACACTGAGTGACCTGCTTCAGGTGCTCTCTGATTTCAACCACTTTAGGTTTTATCTGAAGAGCATACTGGGCTCCACATTTAGATTTTGGGGGGAGGGGTTGGTTCAGCTTTTTAAAAATTTTTGAAAATAACTGATGAAGTTTGGGTTTGGAATGTGATTATCTCCATGAATCCCACCTGTTATCTATAATAGGAGTAACACTATTTGAACATACAAGACAGGTATTCAATAAAAATGACTATTATTTCCTCTTCAAGGGCCGTGATCCTCTAACTGTGGTCTTTTCCACATTACTTCTTTCCCCAACAGGTCTTCAGCACAACACAGCTGGATGCTTTTGCAGTTGCTTCTGTATTTCGCCTCTCCCTGCATGGGGTCACAGTTCCTCCTCACCTGATGGTGATCGCGCCCAGACATTACTGCATTACTGGATCCCAAATAAAAGAGAAATGCGGGGGGGGGGGGGGGGATATCCTTTGAAGAACAACTTGAGTATGAATCAGGTTTTTTCCCAACCCAAAACCTCTATAACAAGTCTTCCTTTTCTTGTCCTTTTCTGTCTAGAAAAAAGGCCACCTTCTAATAGTTATTCTCCTCTCCAAAATCTTTTTCTTAACTCTAATCTCCGTATGTACTCCTTCCAAGTTGCCATTTGGGGTTCATTAACCTGTACCAAGTAAACATAGTTACACTTCTAAAAACTGTCCCTTTACCCCAATCTCTGCCTCTGCCTCTCCCTACATAACTTCAGTGACATCAGTCAATTGATAATAAAAAATACTGATTTTTGCCTCTAGGAAAAAGAGTAATTTGATATACAATACTAGGGACAAAAGAAGTTCTCCTCATAGCTTAAATATTCTCCAAGCATCTTACTTCAGCTAACTTATTCAACACAAAAGATGTGCATTACTGACCCAGGTTTGGAGGTGCATGCCTGTAATCTCAGCACGTGGGAGGCTGAAGCAGGAGGATTACAAATTGGAAGGCCAACCTGGGCAATTTACCAAGACCTAGTTTCAAAATTTTAAAGGGGAGGAGTGGTGTTGCTCAGTGCAAAGGCCCTGGGTTCAATCCCCAGGACTGAAAAAAAAAAAAAAAAGGAAAGAAAGGCAGACAGACACACAATGTCTGCGTTCAGACCCTGAGAATATCTGACTATAATGCAAAGGTATACCTCTTAAAGCCATTATACTCGAAAATAACTTCTCCTTTACATATTAGTCAAGCTAAAAGATTAACTTTTTTTTCTATAATCAATTATAAACCATGAAAGAGTTTCAAAAAGGGACTAGTTCATTAATTATTCATAAGCTATATGATGAAAACATTTTAGCATGCTTATTAATTTTCTTAGATCATTTTATTTTAAATCTCCCTTTAAAAAGGGCCGGGGCTTTAGCTCAGCGGCATCATATCTGCCTCACAAGCACAAGGTCCTGAGTTCAATTCCTGGTACCAAAAAAAAAGGGGGGCATCAAAAAGGCTTATTTTGAATTGGTCTAAAAAGAACTCAGAATTCAGTCTGAACAGATTGAAAAGGATCAGCAAAATGAATAATTAACACGAGGAGCTATTAATACTCGTTCAAGTATCCATCCATCCACTAATTCGGTATTTATTAACAAATTATTTTCCAGACACTTTTTAAAACATATTTTCCTTTTAATCTTAGCCATTTTCATTTCTTAATTACCCCATCATGATAACTCACAAATCTCTGATTTCAACTCTGGCTTTTACGACACTGTTTTACTGAACGAATCTACTTGGATGTCTTTGAGCGGCCCTGTATAAGAGGGCCATCTGAAGCAGTCTATGTCCTATGGAAAGGGGGAAACTCCCTGGTAATGGCTGTGGTATCTGTTGATGTGAAGAAAAAGGCAGTCATTCCTAAAGTCAATAATTCAGATTAAAAAGGTGCAAGGAGAACTCTAAAAGGAAACTAGTATTTGATTCCAAGCTGGTAAAATGCTATTTCAACTTGTCATCCTTTCTTGGGACCAGATTTTAGGGAAGGGAGAGAGAGAGATGGACAAAAATGGTACCTAGCACAAAAAAAATTATGCCAGGTTCTAAAATATCAACTGAGCCCACAAACTTTGCAGAACAAGGCATATTATGTTTGTTGAATTATCTATCTGTATCTTAATAACAAATGTCTCCTCAATCTTCAAGAAGTAACAACTGTAGCAAGGTGTGCCCAGCCCTTGGGAGGCAGAGGCAAGAGGATCCTAGGAGGGCAGCCTGAACTACATACCAAGACCCTGTGTTTAAAAAAAAAAAAGAAGTAGTAACAATTGTAAACATATTTTATCTACCAAAGCCACAAGATATAAGTAAGACCACAAAATGAAATCTGATACAATTAAAGGAAAACAGACAATTCAACAATAGTTGGAGATTTGAAGCTCTCACTATCAATAATTCAAAGAACTAGACAGCAGATCAGCAAGAAAATAACAAACATGAACAACACTAACTAGAGCTAACATACCAACAAAATATACCACTTAACAACAGCAAAAATCACATTCAAGTGTATACATGTAATATTCTTCAGAATAGAACCATGTATTAAGCTATGTGTCTCAAAAAGTTTTCCAGCTGAAATTATGCAAAGTATCTTCCTTGACCCTAATGAATAAAAATTAGAAAACAGTTAACAAAAAGAAATTTGGAAAATTCACAAATATGTGAAAACAAATAATAATCTCATAAATAACCAAAGGCCACAGAAGAAATTACAAGTAAGTTAGAAAATATTGAAGAATGAAAACAAAAATGCAACACATCAATACTTATAGGATACAGTTACAGTAGTGTCTAAGGGAAGTTTATAGTTGTACAAGCCTGTATTGTTCTTTAGAAGTCTCAACCCAGTAGCCTAATATTCAAACTTTAAAAATTAAGAAATAAAAAGGGTAAAATAAGCCTAAAGTAAGCAGGTGGGAGAAAATAATATGAGAGAAAAAATTTTAGTGAATAAAAAATGATAGAAAAAAAAATCAATAAAACCAAATGTTAATTTTTTGTTTGCTTGTACCAAAAATGGAACTCAGGACCTTGAGCTTGCCAAACAGGCACGGTGCCACTGAGCTACATCCTCGGCCCTAAATGTTAGTTTTTTAAAAGATTAACAACCCAATCAAAGAGAAAAAAAATAATAACAAAACAGGCAGACATTTAGGTAACAAGAAAAAAAAAAGAAAACTCAAGTTATTAAAATCAGTTAAAGGAACATTACTAGCAAACTTGTAAAGATTATAAGAGAATGTTATAAACAATCGTATACCCACAAATTAAACCTAAACAAAATGGATAAATAAACATACAAGCTAACAAAACTAACTCAGAAACAAAATATGACGAGAGTTATAACAAGTAAATAAAAATCAAAAACTTCCAACAGGGCTGGGGATTTAGCTCAGTGGTTTTGCCACCTGCTGCGCAAGTGCAAGGACCCAAGTTCGATCCCCAGTATCAAAAAAAAAAAAAAAAACTTCCAAAAAAGAAGAGCCCAGAACCAGATGGCTTCACAGCTGAATTTTACCACAATTTTAAAGTAAAACTAACATCAATCATTTGGGAACACTTTCTAACTCATTCTATGAAGGCAGCATTTACCCTGATAGAAAGCCCCAAAATGTATCACAAGAAAAGAAAAACATACACCAATGTATCTTATGACTATAGATGCAAAAACATTCAACAAAATCCTAGCAAAGTGAAGCCAGCAGCAAGCAAAAAGGGTTATACATCATGACCAAGTAAGATTTAATCTCAAGAATTCAAGGTTATGGTTTAACATACAAAAATAAATCAATGTCATGGCCCATAAAATAGAATGAAGAAAAAAACAAAAAAGCACACAACTACCTCCACAGACACACAGATAGTGAAGAACCAAGTGACAAATTCTAGCATTTCGTGGGGCCGGGGATTTAGCTCAGTGGTTCCAATGTCTGCTCACAAGTGCAAGGACCCGAGTTCGATCCCCGGTACCCCCCAAAAAAATTCTAGCATCCTTTCACGATCAAACATTCAACAAACTGGGATTGAAGGGAACTTGTTCAACCAACCCAGAAGCAGGTGTGCAAAGCCTGCAGCTAACACACTTACAGGTAAAAGAAGGAAAACTTCCCCCTACCATCAGGAACAGGCATCCACAGTTACTCAACACTGCACTAGAAATTCTGGTCAGGCCAATTAGGCAAGAAAAGAAATAAAAGATATCTAGACTGGAAAGGAAGAAGTACAACTATAACAGTTTGAAGATGCTATAATCTTGTATATAGAAAATCCTAAAGAACCCACAAAAAAAAAAACTAAGATAATAAACAAGTTTAGCAATGTTGCAGGATACAAAATCAGTACAGAAAAATCAATCTCATTTTTATACAACAGCAACGAGCAATCTAAAAATGAAATTAAAAGATCATTTTCATTTTTAAGAGCACCAAAAAGAGTAAGATATGCCAGATGTGGTGGCATGCGACGATAATTCCAGCAACTTGGAAGGCTGAGGCAGGAAGATCTTGAGCTCAAGGCCAACCAAGGCTACAGAATGAGTTCCAGGCCTGAGGTACACAGAGAGATCCTGTCTCAAAACACACACACACACACACACACACACACACACACACACACACACAAACAGGAATACATTTAACAAAAGAATCATACTGAAAAAATCATATAAAACACTTTTGAAAAATAATTCAGGAAGATCT